CCCAACTTGTAAACTAACCTAATCAACCAGTGCTGAGACATTGTTTACATACACTACACTATACGCGGCTTGTTTACATACGCTACACTATACGCGGCTTGTTTACATACACTACACTATACGCGGCTTGTTTACATACGCTACACTATACGCGGCTTGTGTTGTAACCGTCCATTAATACTTTCTACTTTTTCATTGACCTGTGTGTTATGGTGTTCTCTAGCGGCCATAACAAGAGGTATTACAACCACAAGTACTGAAGGACCCACTCAGACCTCAGTGTGTGGCTGGAGAGACTGACTGACTACCTTGAGAGCGTGTCGAGTCGAGTCCCTGTATTGGACCCGTATCGACCTTGTCTCATCCCTCCCTCCTCGTCTACCCTGCAACACGTTCCTTCTCTTCCTTGCCTTGGCCTGTTGTGACTCTTAATCTGTTTATAGATACACGTTTATTGTGTGATGGTGATACACTGTACTACTACACTGTACACTACTACACTGTACACTACTACACTGTACTACTACACTGTACACTACTACACTGTACACTACTACACTGTACACTACTACACGAGGATGGGGCGCGTAAAGCTCTCTAATAATCTGGATAGAAGGAAGAATTATGATGAATATTCTCAAATGGGAATAACTGATGATTAATCCCGAGTTTATTTCTCCCTTAGATTAGTTTCCTTAACGCTACTTTGGGGGTTGGGTGGGTTAGGTTAGGTTGGCTTGATGTGGGTTAGGTTAGGTTAGGTTGGCTTGATGTGGGTTAGGTTAGGTTACAGGTGGTTAATCTTCAGGTGATCCCCGAAACATGAAGTGTAACCGTATTCATTATTTACTTATTCCTAATTATTTAAGAGATACGTTTAATCACTTAACCTAATCAACCTTTTCTTTTGTCCTTTCAGGTAAGTTTGGCTGTTGACCCAGGGGGAGTAAGGTGGGTGAGTGAGTGTAGTGGTGGAACATAAAACTGTATTGGTAAGGTTCGTGCTCCGCCTCTTATCATATGCACATCTTGATAAACATGAGATAAGAGCAACAACAAGTAATGAATGACCTTGACGGGGCCCTGACGCACCTGGCCAGACCTAACACTGACATCCTGGCCCAGGTGAGTTTCATTTACTTATTTGTTGTTGTATTTGTTATTGCGTATTTATATAGTTTTTATTTATTTATTTTTATTGTGTATTTATATTATTACTATTAAGTACTGACACGGAACAAGTGGATCTCTGACGTTATTTATCTGCCAGTCATGTTACTGTAGTGTTGTCATGACTGAGCTGTTGTTGTCACTGTCCAGTTAGTGACGCAATCTTCTGCTGGTCGGTTATTATCCCTGACACCATAAACAAGTGTAGGTGACCTGATACGCCGTAAATGACCTGATCCGTGAACCACAAGCGGGAGAATATGATTGTTTGTCTCAGTGCTGCTATAGCGTGCGGTCTAGAGAGGTATCTGTAGTCTAACCCGACCCGACAACGTGACGGTCTCTTTCGAAGCGTCAAGTGACACTCAGCGCACACCTGACTATACCTGGGTGAGGCGGTAGTGAACAGAGCTGGCGCATGATAAAAGATAACGTGTATCGAGTCATGATTAATTATTATTTGATGTTTTGACGATACTGATAACAGATATTACTGACTCACCAGGCTTTGTACGGCGTGTGTGTGGGGATGGTGGCAGTGTGAGTGAGGGTGGTGGCAGTGTGGGTGAGGGTGGTGGCAGTGGGTGAGGGTGGAGCCTAGCCGGGTAGGGGGCCGGGGTCGGTGACCTGGCGTGGGTAACTCTACTAACAAGGACCCCGGGCGGGTGTTGGAGGGCTCCACTTGAGATATTCTTGGGTGACTTTACATGATGTTGAGGGGGGGACACAGTAGGTGTATGCGGAAAGAGGAGGGTGTGGTGGGTGGCGGCAGAGGTGGCCGGGTGCATGATGAACCTAGCACTGCTGGCAACACTGTTAGGTCCGTGCTTGGACTGGCCACCTTCAAGCGTTACTAAGAAGCTCTGCCCACCAACCAACTACTCTCTTCCTTCCCTCCCTCCCTGCCTCTCCTTCACTCTCTACTCCACTTCTCTCATATCCATTTATTCACAAATCTCATTCGTTTACTTTTGCTTATCGGCGAAATTTGCCCGTCACCGTTCTTCCTTGTGACCTTCAGTTGTGGTGCAGGGTGTACTGTACTGTACAGTGAGGCCGTGGTGCAGGGTGTACTGTACTGTACAGTGAGGCCGTGGTGCAGGGTGTACTGTACTGTACAGTGAGCCGTGGTGCAGGTGTACTGTACTGTACAGTGAGGCCGTGGTGCAGGGTGTACTGTACTGTACAGTGAGGCCGTGGTGCAGGGTGAACTGTACTGTACAGTGAGGCCGTGGTGCAGGGTGTACTGTACTGTACAGTGAGGCCGTGGTGCAGGGTGTACTGTACTGTACAGTGAGGCCGTGGTGCAGGGTGTACTGTACAGTGTGAGGCTGTGGTGCAGGGTGTACTGTACTGTGTGTGTGGTGCAGGGTGTACTGTACAGTGTGAGGCTGTGGTGCAGGGTGTACTGTACAGTGTGAGGCCGTGGTGCAGGGTGTACTGTACAGTGTGAGGCTGTGGTGCAGGGTACTGTGCTGTGTGAGGCTGTGGTGCAGGGTGTACTGTACAGTGTGAGGCTGTGGTGCAGGGTGTACTGTACAGTGTGAGGCTGTGGCAGGGTGTACTGTACTGTACAGTGGTGCAGGGTGTGCTGTACAGTGTGCTGTGCAGGGTGTACTGGTGCAGGTGTAGTGAGGCTGTGGTGCAGGGTGTACTGTACAGTGAGGCTGTGGTGCATGTGTGCAGGGTGTGGTGCAGGGTGTACTGTGTACAGTGAGGCCGTGGTGCAGGGTGTACTGTACAGTGAGGCCGTGGTGCAGGGTGTACTGTACAGTGTGAGGCTGTGGTGCAGGGTGTGCTGTACTGTACAGTGAGGCCGTGGTGCACAGTGCTGTGGTGCAGGGTGTGTACTGTAGTGAGGCCGTGGTGCAGGGTGCACTGTACTGTACCGTGGTGCAGGGTGTACTGTACAGTGAGGCTGTGGTGCAGGGGTGTACTGTGCTGTACAGTGAGCCGTGGTGCAGGTGTACTGTACAGTGAGGCTGCAGGGTACTGTACTGTACTGTGAGGCCGTGGTGCAGGGTGTACTGTACAGTGAGGCTGTGGTGCAGGGTGTACTGTAAGTGCCGTGGTGCAGGGTGCACTGTACTGTACAGTGTGGTGCAGGGTGTGTACTGCTGTACTGTGGTGGTGAGGCCGTGGTGCAGGGTGTGCTGTACAGTGAGGCTGTGGTGCAGGGTGTACTGTACAGTACTGTACTGTGAGGGCCGTGGTGCAGGGGTGTACTGTACTGTACAGTGAGGCCGTGGTGCAGGGTGTGCTGTACTGTGTGAGGCTGTGGTGCAGGGTGTACTGTACTGTGTGAGGCTGTGGTGCAGGGTGTGTGCTGTACAGTGAGGCTGTGGTGCAGGGTGTACTGTACAGTGAGGCTGTGGTGCAGGGTGTACTGTACAGTGTACTGTACAGTGAGGCCGTGGTGCAGGGTGTGTGCTGTACAGTGAGGCAGGGTGTACAGTGTGAGGCTGTGGTGCAGGGTGTACTGTACAGTGTGAGGCTGTGGTGCAGGTGTGTGTGTGAGCCGTGGTGCAGGGTGTACTGTGGTGCAGGGTACTGTACTGTACTGTACAGTGAGGCCGTGGTGCAGGGTGTGTACTGTACAGTGAGGCCGTGGTGCAGGGTGTACTGTACAGTGTGAGGCTGTGGTGCAGGGTGCACTGTACTGCACTGTGAGGCTGTGGTGCAGGACTGTGCTGTTGTGAGGCCGTGGTGCAGGGTGTACTGTACTGTACAGTGAGGCCGTGGTGCAGGGTGCACTGTACTGTACAGTGAGGCCGTGGTGCAGGGTGTACTGTACAGTGTGAGGCTGTGGTGCAGGGTGTACTGTACTGTACAGTGAGGCCGTGGTGCAGGGTGTACTGTACAGTGTGAGGCTGTGGTGCAGGGTGTACTGTACTGTACAGTGAGGCCGTGGTGCAGGGTGCACTGTACCACCTCCCTCCCCCTCCATACTAACACTTTCATAAGAGTTTCTTGCTGTCTGCCATAATTATAAGTTTTGGCTACTTTCCCACGTTCAATATTTTCCTCTTAATTATTGCTTGCTCCATCGTCGTCCTGTCGTGTCTTTGTTGTACTGGCCGGGGAGTGATGTGTTGGTGTCGCTAACACATATTACGTTACCCACCTGCAGATAACACAGTACTGTGCTCTCATACCGTCACGCTGTTCTGTGCACTTGCGTTTTTCAGCATTATACATGACAGCAGGTCCTCCCTACAGACGTCTGGAGTGTTCACAACTCAACCGTTCCCGCAACATGTTATCACTCATCTATCTGCTATGGAAATTCACGTTTCCAGTCTGTCGAAAATTTGCAGCCGCTGTACAGTAAACTGCCGTCAACATTGTCCTGATTCTCTTCATTGTCTGGCTTATTAAAAACTTGTGTGGATGGATACTGAACCAACAAGAGCTGCAGGATGTGACTTGTTGGGGAGTACAGTACAGCGCAGTGCAGTACAGTACAGTAGGTTCGTCACAATTTGGTGATGCAATCACAAAGTCAGGTGGCAGCCGGGTAGTGGTAGTGGTGCCAGCGGTGCTTTGTTGTATACCCTGCGCGGCCGGCCGGCCAGCCAGCCACCCACCGTGTCCAACCTTCCATCTCTGCCAGTGAGACACACCACCACCTTCTCTTCAAACATAATGTACACTTTTTAACTAGTGTAACCTTTGATATGGATCAAGCTTATCTATATAACGTAAGGGCACCTGCTCTTGTTAGTTAGTGGGCTGCGCGCGCAGTTGTATGTTCTGCGGGAGGTTGGATTGGCGGGGAGGTGGAGGAGTTGGTGGCGGCGGCAGTGGCAGCAGCGTAGCGTGTGGTGTGTGTCCGTCAGTGTGGTTGTTGGAGTGAAGCGTGCCTCACGTGCCACCGGGTGCTGCCTCCCCTCATGACCTAAGCAACTTCCGCCCACACCACGCCCACAGCTGTAGGACCTACCCGCAAGCTTGTAACTATCGTGCCGTCCACTGGTGCTCGCCCTCACCCTCACCCCACACCGCCGGACACAGCGGTAGTGTACACTAACTCACCGGACGCAGGGCCCCGCCCCCTGCTGTCGCCCGCCCTTCTTGTTGCCAGGGTGCTGTGTCCTCATGCTGCCCCCCCGTGACCTGACTAGCGTGTCACTCACTAGGGCATCCCGCTCCTACTGAAGACAGCATGTGAGCCCAGTCTCTTGTCAAGTCTCCTGTATTGATCCGAGGAAGGAAGGTGTTGGTGGTGGTGGCGGCGGGGAGTGCGGCGGTGTTGGTGTGTTGTACGGGTGTCTTCCGAGACCCGGCTGGAGCTCTTATCTGCTGCAGGAGAACCTTCCCTCTTCCTAGCCACAACCCAAACTCTCCCCACAGTGACTGACTGACGTGTCCCCGCGGTGTTGAACGTCCATAATATACTGTACTATATGGGTAGCTTGTGAAGGATGGTGTAACTTGTGGTAAAGAGTGTGGCCTCCTCGAGGGTGTGGCCCAGCATGGCATACGGTGGGCGGGGGCGAGGTGGGTACCGGGGCGCTACGGCCTCTCCTCCAGGGGGCGGCGCACCTCGCAGGACCTATTCCGACGATGATTCCGAGGAAGGTAAGCCTCCCCCACCCTCGACACCTGCCCGCACGCCGCTCGCTCATCCTGTGTTTGCCACCGCTTCACTCACACACACACACTTGTACTGTACTGTTCCCAGCAACATCCTCTCACTCACTTGTGTGTCGTAGCAGTAGATGAGGTTCATTGTGTTGTCGCCACACACTATTATATTTTTTATGTTGCTATTGACCACTTAACCTAAAATTAATATTTGACTAATATATATATGCTGATAACCACAAGAAAACACGAAGTTCCCAAGCGCTTGGGAACTTCGTGTTTTCTTGTTTCCTTGTGGTTATCAGCATATACTTGTACCGCGCGCATCTACAGTGATTTACTTGCATATATATATATATATATATATATATATATATATATATATATATATATATATATATATATATATATATATATATATATATATCATATATATAATATATAATATATAATTGTCTTTGATTTGCTGTATAGAAATACAGCAGCGACTTGCAGTTTTAATGTGTACGTTAATTTGTAGTGGTTGTGGGTGGCCTTAGAGCACTTGAGGTGTCGAACACTAACTTCCTGCACTAAAGATTAAAAAAAAACTGAGGTAGTTGTTAGACTCCTACCTCGAGGAAGAAATCTTTCGGGTACTACACCCCCCCCACTTCCTACCCCCTCTCTGTTTGAAGTGTTAGTACCACGTAGTTTTGTGTTTTTACAACCATGCTTCTTTTTGACACCAATGTTTACTTATAATGGTTAAACACACACACACACACACACACACACACGTGATATCAGTGAATTTTACACCAGCTTCCTTTGTCACGGTATGTCGATCCTGGGAGTATTTATTTAGTTATTTACCTTGTTGAGGCTCTTTCCGGTAGGTAAGAGTGTAGGCCGCGGCGCCGCTGTGGCCAGGGGACAAGTTGGTAGTCTGTAGGGCGTCAGAGGTTCAAAGGTACTGAACGACTTCAATTATCCTGTTGTCCTCTTGAGGAACGGTACCTGACTGGCTGGCTGACCAAGGTGTCTGCTGGTCTGGAAAATATTGAAAAGTCAGGAAATTTGACAAATAAACCTAGAATTTTATGTGAATTCAGCTCAACTTCAAAATACTGCATTTTAATTTTGACAGTAATCTTACTATAAATTAATGATGTACCGTATAAAAGGTAAATAATTAAACTTCTGGGAGCAAATTCCAGAAAAAACTCCTCTCCAAAAACTGAATTATTTGTGTACCTACAGCAACATGTTACTGATCAAATGACGGGTTAAACTTACTAATTCTGCAATGAGTATTATCAGAGATGAAGTGTTCTTAAAATTATGTGGATTATTTAAGTGGATTATTTTACACATTTATCATAAATCATTTAGGTGTGTGTGTGTGTAGAGAGAGAACTGCAGCAGAATAATGGACTGACCCCCCGAGGTGTTTTATATGTATATTTAACCCCAAAATGTCCAACTATGTCCATCGTGGGGAGGTGGAGGGAGGGCATTATGAGAGGCTTGTAACATAGTGTATTAACTGGTGTTGAATAGGAGTGAACACTAGGTCAATATATACTGTATACAGGGTGGGAGTGTTGTCACCTTTTGGCCAATAATATGCTAGAAAAATCCACCCTACTTCTTTCTCTCTCTCCCTCCCATCCCTTCATCTCCCTCTCTCCCATTCCTTCCTTCCTTCCTCAAAAAAGTTGCTCTTATTAGGATTGAAGTACAAGTCTGCCGGGTTACAAATTAATTGGCCCTAGTATTGAAAGGTGTGACACACGATTAATTGTTTACCGGAATTAAGACGAAAAACGCGGGTTTGTGGGAGAACGTCTGTGTAGTAATAGTAGTAGTAAGAATAGTGGTGGTAGTAGTTATACGAATAGTAGTAGTAGCATTAATAGTAGTAAAAATAGTAATAGTATTAATTATAGTTGTATCAGTAATAGTAGTAAATTAATTATAGTGATAGTAGAAGTAGTAGTAATAATAGTGGTGGTAGTAGTAGTAGTAGTAATAATAATAGTAGTAGGAGCAATAATAGTAGTAATAATAGTAGCAGTAGCAACAAACACTAATATCTGAAAAAACTCCCTTACAAAGATTTTTCAGATATTGGCCGGAATGAGGGCCGGTCACCCGATGTCTGCTGGACCATTATTATTATTATTATTATTATTATTATTATTATTATTATTATTATTATTATTATTATTATTATTATTATTATTGTTATTGTTATTATTATTATTACTGTTGGTATTTTATTATTTGTTGAAGGAACTGTGTTTATTGTTAATGTTGATTTATCGTGTGGGACGTGTCTGTCTGGCAGTACCCACGAAGACGTTATACAGTATCGCGAGTATGGTTCCATTTAAGAGCACACTGCTACCATGATACACTCTTATTGCCATCAGTAAATATTTCTTGCGAGTGTAGGATATTTGTAGCGAGCGCCGAACATTTCTAGCCAGCGCTGAATATTTCTAGCCAGCGCTGAGTAATTGTAATGTGCGCTTTATTGATGAATATTTCTAGCCAACGCTGAATATTAGAAGCGATCACTGAATTTTTTTTGCCAGCGTTGAATATTTGAAGCGAGTACTGAGGCAATTGAAGCGAATACTGAACATTTTAAAGAGAATCCTGTGCACTGGAAGCAAACCTCCACTAACTGTTTATGCAAATACTGAGGAGCACTTAGACACAGCGGTCATGGTGTTGTAGGTGTGTGAGGCTATTGCTGTGTAGTGGAAATAATGGTCCCATGATAAAGAGTGAACTTAACGTACGCACCAAAGGCTGTGTTTATTTACGTGTTTGGGAGACAACTGCTGGCTTAGTTGTGTCTGTCTGGGCCACTATTACTGTACTGGTAATTTGGATTTACCTTTGTGGGTTATTGGGAGTTGGTATAGTGGTGTAGTGAGGTGGTTGTGGTGGTGTAGTACTGTACTGTGGTGGTGTGGTAGTACTGTGGTGGTGTAGTGAGGTGGTTGTGGTGGTGTGCTGTGGTGGTGTAGTACTGTACTGTGGTGGTGTGGTAGTACTGTGGTGGTGTAGTGAGGTGGTTGTGGTGGTGTACTGTGGTGGTGTGGTAGTACTGTACTGTGGTGGTGTGGTAGTACTGTGGTGGTGTGAGGTGGTTGTGGTGTACTGTGGTGGTGTAGTGAGGTGGTTGTGGTGGTGTGTAGTACTGTACTGTGGTGGTGTGGTAGTGCTGTACTGTGGTGGTGTAGTGCTTTGGTGTGGTGTGGGTAGTACTGTGGTGGTGTGGTAGTACTGTACTGTGGTGGTGTGGTAGTACTGTACTGTGTGGTGGTGTGGTAGTACTGTATTGTGGTGGTGTGGTGGTGTAGTACTTTGGTGTGGTGGTGTGGTAGTACTGTATTGTGGTGGTGTGGTGGTGTAGTACTTTGGTGTGGTGGTGTGGTAGTACTGTATTGTGGTGGTGTGGTAGTACTGCACTGTGGTGGTGTAGTACTTTGGTGTGGTGGTGTGGTAGTACTGCACTGTGGTGGTGTAGTACTTTGGTGTGGTGGTGTACTCATGGCAGGAAGGGAGTCGTGTTGGGGTACGAGAGAAACGCTTGCCAAGTTTTTTTGTGCCGCGGGCAAGGCCACGGGGCGTCGGTAAACACAACACAACACAGCAACACAACAACACGACACAACACAACACAGCATGACACAATACAACACAACAACAACAGCACGACACAATACAACACGACCACTATTTTTGGCTGGTATTGATGGTCACGTGAGCTGCCTCCTGTAGATAGTACTGTGTCGTGCCGTGTACTGTACTGTAGGTGTGTACCGTGTTGATGTTAGAGTCAAGTACCTCACACACCTCTCTCTTTACTCATAATTTATGCCTCACGGGATTTATTTTTAATTGTGTCACACTGGAGGGAAGAACTGAATTATCACGAGAAGATATGCGGCGGCGTAGCAACAGTGTTAATATTGGTGTTTGATGCCGTGTGTGTGTGTCGGCCGGCCGCCAAGTTTGTGTATAAATAACAGCTGCACTTTTTACTGTTATGTTCATAAACTTGACTTAATTACAGGTGTGAGGTAGACGTGTTTGTGTTACTATGGTGACTCGTTAATTTCAACACAAAGTAACACCTTTATTTCAACACTTCAAGTAACACCTTTATTTCAACACTAAGTAACACCTTTATTTCAACACTAAGTAACACCTTTATTTCAACACTTCAAGTAACACCTTTATTTCAACACTAAGTAACACCTTTATTTCAACACTAAGTAACACCTTTATTTCAACACTAAGTAACACCTTTATTTCAACACTAAGTAACACCTTTATTTCAACACTTCAAGTAACACCTATTTTGTTTCGTTTTAAGTTTTTCGCAATTTTGTTAACGAGGTCGGGATTAATATTTGGTTCAACAGAAGCTGACGTGTTGCGGTGTTTAGCCTCATAGTGTTATTAATGACGTGTAGCTGTTGTTTTGGTGGTGATAAGTTAATTATTTACATATTTACTGCTGGTAGTACCTGTGTGTCGGTCTCTCTCTCACACACACACACACACACACACACACACACACACACAGTATATATGTAGTGTAGATAATAACAGTAGCAGGTGTCTTGGTGTGCGTCAATGGATAGTGAGTTAATGTTCAACTTTCCACCGTAGTTGTTGGCATGTTATCCTTAATCTTCTTCTCAAACACCTAAGCCAATTTTCACCCCCATGATCCTGAACAATAATAGTAATTAACTTCTCGTATTTGTTTATTGGTGTAATATTTGTGTTGTTGTTGTTTACAGGATGTAGTTGTGCATGTGTTAGTCAGCCAGGTGTACACAGGTGACAGCATGTTTGTTGTACTTGTTATTATCATCTCCAACTACGGCAGCCAGGGAGGTCACCAGGTAGTTCATTACAGTGTAGAGGTCAGTGTCGGCCCACCGGTAGGTATACTGTTGTACCTGATCTCACCAACACCTGTT